GCACAATCCCCTCCTGAACACAAAAGAAACCCTTCCCAGCACAGGGATAACCATCCTGAAGGGCAGACCCCACTGCAGTCACAAATCTGAGATCTGAAACGTAAACTTTAAGGAATTTAGAGATTTTAGAGGAGCTAAGATTTTAGTTAGAGATGAGCCTTACTAGAGTTAATTAAAATAATAATAATAAATGAGTAGGCCTTGATGAAGTTAGGAGTTAGTAGTTAACTAATAATTGATTGCTTGTCAGCACAATGTTTAGTTAGCTGGGTTTATAATGAAGAATATAAACTGACAAAGAGCTTTTAGGAACATCAGACAATTGTGGGGCTCCTCTGTTCTGAAACCAACTGAAGACGATGAATGGGAGTTCTACCAAGAGTTCATTTGTCATATTTGCATTGAAAAGGTAGAAAGGTCAGAACGAGGAAGACTTCATTGACTTCCTCATTTTGGGACCCCTCTCCATGAAAGGGACACCGACCCATTTCAAGGAACAAACCACACATGCTGAATGGCTTTTGAAATGATTGGCATAGCAGGGAATGGGATGTACCAAAATGATAAATATGTATTTATATTTTGTATATTCAATACTTGTATGGATAAAAGGGCTCTGTAATCACCTGAAGGGGCTGTGTGGATTTGGGAGTGATCCCACACACAATAAACACTCACTTTCTAACTTTAAACTGTTAGAGAGTTTTTGTCCGTCCCAGTTGGATATCAGTACTAGATCAATATCCAGATTTTTTAATAAATCAGATCTCCCCAGCTGGAGAGGGGGAAATTGTAGGAAGCAATTTTGGTGGGTGCAAAGGGTTAGGGGGGAGCTCCTGGCAGAGAAAAAAGGGATGAAAAAGGATGGGAGAGAGCAGGGGAAGAGCTGGGCCACATCAAAGAGAAGCACCGGCCCCTGGGGACTCGTGTGAGGTTTCATTCAAGTCCCTACTAAAAAGAAAAAAAAAATCAATTAAATTAACAAAATGGTTTGCATTAGAATTCATCAAAACTACCCTGCAAAGAACAAACCAAGCTTTAAGCAGGGTGCTGTTTCTGTAACCCAATGCCCTCCCAGCTCTGGTTTCCCATCCCCAGGGAATCTCCCTGCGATGCCTGAGAGCCTCTGGAACCCCAGGGAATAATTCTGCCCAGCCCTGGAATCACACCCTCACACCCAGGTTTTGGGGGCACCCATCTCCCTTTTCTTTAACCACCCCCCGAGGAAACTGAAGCCTCATTTTGTAAAATTCTCATTTATTATTGCCAAGAAAGGTTTTCAAGGCAAAAAAACTCAGTTTTTTTGGGAGTTTTTTTGGTGTTTTTTGGTGGGTTTTTTTGGTGTTTTTTTTTTTCTCAGAAATTTTCAGCTTCAGGACAAGCTTAAATTGCGGGGCAGCTTCCCAAAATGTGTGTCCCCATGGAATGCCAGGATTTGGGTTGGGAGGAACCTTGCAGATCCTCCTGCTCCAGCTGCGTGCTTGCCCTCTGTGGTTGGGGATTGCAGAGAGGAGAAACGCCCCTGTTCCCATCAGGGAGAGCTTCTCACTGCCTCTTTTATTAATGCAGGTGTTAAACGAGAGCACACATTCCTGACAATTTACATTCCCCTGCCGGAGCTGCATGGACAGGTGGACAGGGAACAGGGAATTAAACCAGAGGACAGCGTGCTCGAACATGCACCGGCGTTTGTGGCCATGTATGCCTAAAATACAGGCCTGGCAGCTGAAAATACCCAGCCAGGAGGGCTTCCTCACATCCCAGGCTGCTGTTTCATGGCAGAATTGTGGGAAAATAGAGTTATTTTTTTTTATTGACGTGGAAGAAAGTTGTCTGTTTAAAAAATCTGTCCGTGTAGGGGATGGCACAATCTGTCCAAAGCTGTGATTCTCTCTGTGATACCTTCCTCCTGGGAGAGCCTCTGGGTTTGGGGAGCACCCGGAGAATTTCTGGGAAGAGATGTCCCAGGGCAGAATCCCAGGATTCCTGAGGCTGGAAAAGCCCTCCAAGGTCATGGAGTCCCATCAACTGTGCCCCATGCCCACCCTGTCCCCACCCAGAGGCCCGAGTGCCACCTCTGGAATTCCTGGGACACCTCCAGGGATGGGCACTCCAAACCTCCCTGGGCAGTGCCAATTCCTGAGCCCCTTTCCATGGGGAAATTCCTGCTGGTTCCACCCTGAGCTCCCATGGCAGGGCTGGGGTTGGGAAAATCTCCTCAGACCATCGAGTTCAGAGAGTTCCTTCGGCCACCACGGCCCCTGTCCCCAGTGCCACGTCCCCTATGGAATCCCTGCAGGGATGGGGACTCCACCTGAGCCCCCTTTCCATGAAGGAATTTCCCCAAAATCCACCCTGAGCTCCCCTGGGCCAGCCTGAGGCCGTTCCCTCTGCTCCTGGCCCTGTTCCCTGGGATGATCCCAAATCCCCCTGGCTGTCAGGGAATTCCAGAGAGGGAAAAGATCCCTGGGGATCCTCCTTTGCTCCAGGCTGAGCCCCTTCCCATCTCCCTCAGGAATTCCCCATTCCCTTCCCATCTCCATCAGGGATTCTCCAGCCCCTTCCCAGCTCCCTCAGGGATTCTCCAGCCCCTTCCCAGCTCCCTCAGGAATTCTCCAGCCCCTTCCCGGCTCCCTCAGGAATTCTCCAGCCCCTTCCCAGCTCCCTCAGGAATTCTCCAGCCCCTTCCCAGCTCCTTCAGGAATTCTCCAGCCCCTTCCCAGCTCCCTCAGGAATTCTCTGTTCCCTTCCCAGCTCCATCAGGGATTCTCCAGCCCCTTCCCAGCTCCCTCAGGAATTCTCTGTTCCCTTCCCAGCTCCATCAGGGATTCTCCAGCCCCTTCCCAGCTCCCTTAGGGATTCTCCAGCCCCTTCCCAACTCCCTCAGGAATTCTCCAGCCCCTTCCCAGCTCCCTCAGGGAAGGACCTGGGATGAAGAGAAGGAGCTGGGGTGAACATAAGGAGCTGGGGTGAAGGGAAGGACCTGGGATGAACAGAAGGGACCTGGGGTGAACATAAGGAGCTGGTATGAACATAAAGACCTGGGATGAACATAAGGACCTGGGATGAACAGAAGGGACCTGGGATGAACAGAAGGGACCTGGGATGAACAGAAGGGACCTGGGATGAACCTAAGGAGCTGGGGTGAATGTAAGGAGCTGGGATGCAGAGCAGCATCTGAGCTCAGAGGCTGAGGAGCAGCAGCAGCATTTTCCCATGTGCAGGTGCTGCACTATCCAAACGCACAGACTGACCAGCTCCAGCCCGAGGAGCCTTTCCCGGGATCCCCGCGGGTCCTGGCGGTGCCAGGGCCCGGAACCCCCGGGACCGCCCCGCTGCCATCCCCGCTCCTGCCCGGGGGGATCGGCGGCGCCGCCGCATTTGTCATTGCCACGGCGGCGGGTTAATGGAGCGCCGGGAACGGAACCGCGCCCGGAGCTCCCGGCTCCGCTCCTGCGGAACCGCCGGGACCGGGCCGGGCCGAGCGGGGCTGGCCAGGAGGGGAGCGGCTCCTCCGGCCGGGCATCCCCGCCCTGCCAGCCAGAGCCCCACCGCTCAGAGCTCTGCTCACAGACACGTTCTGGAGCGTTGGGTTTTCGCAAAGATTAAAATAGACAATGTAAAAAATATAAAAAATATATTTAAAATATTAAAATATATAAAAATTATAAAAATCATAAAAATAATAACAATAAAACAAATAAAGATATAAGTATTAAAATAGACAATATAGAAAATATTTTTAAAAATATAAAAATATTTTAAAATATAAAAATTATAAAAATAATAAAAATAATAACAATTAAACAAATAAAGATATAAATATTAAAATAGATAATATAAAAATATTAAAAATATTACAAATATAAAAATATTTTTTAAAAATATAAAAATTATAAAAATATAAAAAATATAAAAATCATAAAAATCATAAAAATCAAACAAATAAAGATATAAAAATAAATATAAAAATATTACAAGAGAAAATATGAAAATATAAAAATATATATAGCATAAAAATTTAAACAAATAAAAATATAAATATAAAAATATTGAAATATTAAAATAGAAAATAGAAAAATTTAAATTATAAAAATTATAAATAGCATAAAAAATTAAAACAAATAAAAATATAAATATATAAATAGAAAAATAGAAAAATTAAAATAGAAAATATAAAAATAAAATATAAAAATATAAAAATATAAAAATTATAAAAATAAAAATAGAAAAATTAAAATATAAAATATAAAATTAAAATATTAAAAATTATAAAAATATAAAAATATAAAATATTGACATATTGAAATATAATAATGAACAATTATAAAAAATATTTAAAACCAAATAAAAATATTAAAATATTAAAACTTTAAAATTTAAAAATATTAACTATCATATTATATATAAATATTAACATTTTATATGTATAGTGTGAAAGTAACTTTGTTATAAATATATCATTTTTATTTCTGTTGTTGGTTAAGCTTAGACACAACAGTAAAATAACTCATATATACTTGTGGTAAACTACCTACTTAGATATCATCCAATAAATGTATAAGAAAAACACCTACTGCAAATACACCAACTGTCAACAGTCACCGTGTAAAGATAGTGTAGACCAAACCCAAAAACTAGAAATAATAAACTAAAACTGCAACCAAAGAATACACATACTCTAAAAAAGTAAAACAGAAGAACCATGCTAAACAGTTCTTAGAATATATAAACTAGTTTAGAAAAAAAAGTTTCCTACCGTAATTATAAATATCTAAGGAGCTAATATAATGAAAATTGTACATAAAAAGTATTTCCAAAATAACAAGTGCAGCCTCAGCTGAGTGCCAGGACACCCCCAGCCATAATAACCTTGGCTCTGTGATCCTTGGCTCCCACTGTCTTTTGTTACATTTCTACATTTTCACAAGAGACTGAGCTTTTTATATAAAAAAAATATATATTTTATATATATAAATATATATATATTGTATTTTTAAAATATTTTTCACACTCTCCATGTAGTGATGTTCTGGGTTTAAGCAGATCACCTGGCAAATCCTCTCTGGGTGCATCGTTAGGATAATGGGATAAATTATTTTAACACCTCCCAAGTAACCAGTGGGCACAGGTGCAGAAAGATTTGGGTTTTCAAAATGTTTGTACAATTTTTTTTTACAATCTTAGATCACAGGACGTATTTAAATTAGTGATGCAGGAGTAAGGAATAAAATGGGAAAATATCCCAGGCTAAAAAGGATTTAATTGTGGGTTTTTCCATGGGGAAGAACTATTTCAACCTCCCTGGTGTTTCCAGGAGAAAGGATCCTGCTGCACAATGACCCCCAAAAATCAGAATTGTGAGTGGCAGGTAAGAAATATCCCACTGACATTGGGGCGTTTTCCATGCCAGCTGCAAACACCCATTTCCTTCCTGGAAATTCAAAGTGGGATCGAGGCTTCTGAGGAGAAATCCACCTTTTCCTGACAAATATTCCAAGTGGAAACAGAAACCCTCGGAGCCCCTGGGTGCCATGGAATGGTGCTCCCCAAACATCCAGGGGTGACCCTGACCCCTGGGCCCCTTTGTGCTCAAACTTGGCCTTTCAGGGAAGGAAAACCAAAGCCTTTTTTCACTGCACACAATATTGTCAGAGGTATTTTTATCACCCCCTAGGATGCCTTTTTCTGTGCAATGAAAGCACAGTTCCCGACCAAAATGCAGCTTTTGTAGCAAAAATATTTCTGGAATTACCCCAGCGAGCAAGTCAGGGGTGTTTTGTTAGAATAATTCATGGAAATGTGGAGATTTGGAAATTAAAATGAGGATTTTTGGCTTTTCTGGGCCCAGGGGAGGGGATGCAGGTTTGGGTATCAGTGCTGAGCTGGAGTTCAGCCCTTTGGGTGGGATCAGAGATTTTGGGTGGGGAGAGCTGAGCCTGGCAGAGCCCACCCTGAGCCCTCTGCCCTGTCCCCAGAAGGTGACAATTCCTTGGCAGTGCCACCCTGAGCCTTGGCTCCAGAGCTGTTCCCAGGACGTCCCGAGGCTGGGCAGAAGGAGCTCCAGCTCCTCTGGCTGGAGTTTTCCACCTGGAAATAAAAATATTTGTGGTCACTGATGATGGTGATGAGCCAGGGACAGGTGAAATGACTGATATGATTTCAGAGTGTAAAATGAACATTTTATTCAAAAGCACTTCTCTCTTTTATAGAGAACACTGTGAACATGAATTCCATTGGTTTTAAAGTAAAACCATTTCACCTGATTGGAGCACTGGACCCAGGTCAGTGTGGTAGAACATTTTTAAAAACAATGTGAATGGAAAGCAAGATAATCAATTGGGACTTTTTCCAGCCTTAACCCGGCAGAAATCTCTCTTTTTTTCTAACTGAACTGGGAATATCCACAACTTCTTTTCTGGATATTCCAATTAATCTGGAGCTAAATGCCAAGCTGGGTGGGTGGGAGGGAATCCAGGTCCTTTCCACCCAGAGCTGGCACCGATGGGCACAAAGGGGTCCTGGAGTGGGGTTTGCTCCCGGTTCCAGGCTCATCCGGCGATCCCTGTCCCTCATTTCTGTCCCTCTGCTCCCTGGAGCCTCGGGAACATCGGAGAGGAAAACAATGAACCGATTGAATGTTCTTCAAGGGCTGGATGGGGAGGGGTTTGTCTAACAGAGAATGCCCACTGAGAGCAAAACAGAGGAACAAAGTACTTTCAACAGTGGAAGCACTCAGAGGAAGCGGTGCAGGGGCAGGAATCCATCCCTGGATCTTAACACAGATTAAAATAAAATAAAATAAAATAAAATAAAATAAAATAAAATAAAATAAAATAAAATAAAATAAAATAAAATAAAATAAAATAAAATAAAATAAAATAAAATAAAATAAAATAATAAAATAAAAAAAATAAAATAAAATAAAATAAAATAAAATAAAATAAAATAAAATAAAAATAATATTAAAATAAAATTAAATTCAAATAATATTAAAATAAAATTAAATTAAATTAAAATAAAATAATATTAAAACAAAATAAAATTAAATTTAAATTAAATTAAATTACTAAAATAAAATAAAATAAAATAAAATAAAATAAAATAAAATAAAATAAAATAAAATAAAATAAAATAAAATAAAATAAAATAAAATTTGGAACCTAAAACAAACAAACAAACAATTAAATAAATTTTTTAAATCTCCGCTCTGCAGCGCCAGCCAAGCCAGCACTCGAGCAAAATGCTATTTTAAAAAGCACTGAAGCATTTTCTAACTTATCCCCAGGGATTCACACTTAAAAAAAAAAAAAAATCACATAATTTAGTGGTTTCCTTTGGATGCTGGGAGCAAATCCCAGCTCTGTGGAAACAGGGCCAGGAGGAGAGTGCTGGGCTCTGCCTGCCCCCAGGATGGGCTCCCACAGAGGGAATTTCTCCTGGGTGGGTTTGGCACTGGGGCCTGTTTGGTACTACTGAAGGGGAAAGGAGCTCCAGTGAATGGAGAAAATAAAAGTGAACGTTTGATTCTCCGAGCATTTGCATGAAGGGGGGTGATTTCTGTCTGCTGGCCACTTTGTTTGGGCACTTATATCTATATTTCCTCTTATTGTGGCCCTGTCAAGTGTTTGATAGACTAAGATGGAGGCATTAATTGAATTCAAGTGTAGACACCTGAAGTATTTTTATTTTTATTTTTAGTTCTCTCACCTTTTATTTCCATTAGCACAGCAACGTGGTCGCGGTGGGGATTTCTGCCTGAAGGACACAAACAGAGCTGCTTGCAGTTATTAAAATAAAACTACTTTACCTGGGGGGGGAAAAAAATAGTTCCCAAACCACTTAAGCTGAAAAAATAATTTCAAAAATAGAACAAAACCTGTGTATTTTCCCGGATTTCAGAGGTCTCAGTTTTCCAGACAAAATTCCAGACAAAATTCCAGCCCCGTGGGTGTCCTGGGAATCCCTGGATGGGGCATTGAGGGCTGACAAAGGGGGAATCAGTCCCAGCCTGGACCCAGCTTGGATCTGGGGGATTTTCCAGCCTCGCTGATCCCGGGATTTGGTGCTCAGGGCCTCGGGTTCGGGCAGTTCTGCCTTTGAGGGGTGGAATTCCTCCATTGGGAAGGGAGAGGTGAGGCACAAAGGGTTCATCTCCCTCTATGGGAATCCAGAGCTTCCCTCTGGCTGCCCTGGGACCCTGGCAGGGGTCAGGAACCCCCCTGGACAGAGCCCCCAGAGACAGTGGCTGTGATCTCTGTCCATGGAAAAGAGTTTTCAATCTTACAGGATCAATTACCAGCTCTGAGTGTTTGATATAAGTAATAATTAAGTGTGGCACGGGTGCAAAAGTAAAATTTTAGGATTTTAGATAAGGGGCCCAAAGGGGACAAGAAGCCATAATTGGTCTGTGCTGGTTTCAAGGGTGTTTATTCTGTTTATCTCTACCATGTTCTGCTGCCCTGCCGCAGCTCTGTCCTGCAGGGCAGCGTGTGGGGCTCTGCCCTCAGTGGGATGGTACAAACATTAAATACCACAAACTACCTGTGCTGGATTTACAATAACGTGCCAATATCTGTCACCTACGTTGGACAGTGTGTCCCCAGCCTGAACCAACAGAAAAATGCCAACACCACAGTGAAACATGGAGGGCATGAAGAAGGAGAAAAAGGACAAGGCACACCCAATTCCTCCATCTTGTCCCCTTTGGACCCCTCATCTAGAATCCTAAAATTTTACTTTTGCACCTGTGCCACACTTAATTATTACTGATATCAAACACTCAGAGCTGGTAATTCATCCTGTAAGACTGAAAACTCTTTTCCATGGACAGAGATCAGAGACAGTGTCTCTGGGGGCTCTGTCCAGGGGGGTTCCTGACCCCTGCAGGGTCCCAGGGCAGCCAGAGGGAAGCCCTGGATGGTGCCCCGAGGCCCGTCCGCATGTCCTGCACGTTGACGCGCACGGCGCCCGCGCCCCTCTGCGTCTCTGTTGGGGTCTCTCTTTCTCCCAGCAGTGTGCAGCGTTAATTGCTGCTGCTCTGCGGCCCGGTGCCCACTGCCAGCCCCATTACCCTGCTGCCCATCCCTTCCCCACCACGAGCTGTGCCACGGCGCGGTGGCGTTCGGCAAACATGAAGCGACGCTGGGATTCTGCTCCACGAGGGATGGGCAGAGCCTGGCAGAGCCCAGCCCGGCCCAGCCCGGCCCAGCCCGGCCCAGCCCGGCCCAGCCCGGCCCGCGGCAGAGCCGGGGTTAACGCGGGAGCGCCGCCGTGGCCGTGAACCTTAAACAAACTTCCAGCAGCATTTTCCTGGCGGCCGCCTGACATTTTTCTTTATGTTTCGTCAGTCATATCTGAGCGATCAGACAGCCGCCGCACGTGGTACACCCACCAGGATTATTATCTCGAGCAGAGGCCCAGAGCTCATTGTAGCAGGCATGTAATTCTTTACAATGTATGCCACGTTAAGTGTGTTGGGTTATCTATTCAACAGCTGACTGAGCCGGGCTCTCGGCTCTCCTCAACAACCATGTAAGAAGCGATGACAATTGTACTACTTCATAAGGGCCGCATGCAACTCTGACACACACTTCACAGCAACCAGTCATCTATATAAACCAATTTCAAGAGCAAAATTGCATGGTGCCTCCACTCTGTTATAAACACAATGATATCCACTCAGAGCTGATAAATGCGCTGCATTTCTCCCGAGCTTTAGAGAGCCGCTTCCCTCCGTGGCTCCCGCTGGGGACGCGGCCAGGGGACGGCGGCACGGGCACCTTCCCCTCCTCAGAGCCCGCAACGTCTGACCAGCTGGGAGAGAAAACAAGGCTGGGCCTAATTAAGGTTTTAAATACTTCTCGACTGCGGAGCAATTTTCAAATTAATTAGGGTATCTTTTTGTAGGATTAATGCAATGTAATCCTTGTTACGGGGAAAAATATCTATAGCAACCACCAGGTCCTTGAAAAAATACTTCAACACCAAACGCTCCGACAAAGGGGGAGATTAAAGACTGTCAGACAAATTAAAGCCACTTTTCCTGGCTGCTATGGCTGGGTAAAAGGGTGTGCGGAACCAGCAATCCCGGTTACGGACGTGCTGGCAACACGTGAGGCTCTAATTTTGGGAATTCTGCGAATTCCCACCAGTTTGAGGTGGCAAATGGCATTTCTGGACTGCAAGCAACAACTCAGCCTCCTGCACCAAGCACAGAACCGCCCTCAGTGTCGCAGCGCAATGAAAAGATGAAATATGGCTACAGTGATCTTGATTTAATGAACCCTGTAATTGAATACCCAGCCAAATAGACATCCTGATAAAACACAACAAGGAGTGTTGTTTTTTTAATTCAGATAAAGAATAAGATCCATCTCTGTTTGTTTGCATTGTTCAGCAGTCCTACAGGGGAGTTTAAAAAGTGATCGAGGCCCATGCAGAGGTGGTCCTGTCTTGCTTCGTGCTGCAGAGTAATTTAAATATAATAAAAACTAACAAACAGATTTTAAAACTATCATTTCTGCGTTGCTATCACACTGCCTTTTTTTGCCCTGATCATGGAAAAACACCAAAAGGTTCATCCCAAACCCAAAACGTGGTGTTGATTGCAGAGGGTGTTGAAGGTGAACCCCAGCCAAGGCTGTGCCTCGGAGCTGGGATGCTCTGGGACAAATTCCCAGTGCTGTGCTGGGAATGGTGGCTGGGGAATCGTGGCAGGGTGGGAAATGGGCCCAGAGAGCCCCCTGGGGCTGTGACCACGGGCACAGGGACACAGGGCAGTGACACACAGAGACACAGGGCAGTGACACACAGGGACACAGGGCAGTGACACACAGAGACACAGGGCAGTGACACACAGGGACACAGGGCAGTGACACAGGGACACAGGACAGTGACACAGGGACAGAGGGCAGTGGCACACTGGCGCTGTCCTCCCTGAGAGCTCCCTGCCCTGACTCATCTTCCCACATCCAAATTTATTTTTAAGGAAACAATTCCATGATGCCCATGGAAAAGCTTCCCAATCCCGAGCTCCCCGCGCCATCATGGCTGATGTTATAAATGAAAATTTGTCCGGCTAAATTAATATGAAAAATATTAATGTTTATTTTGCAATCCAATTCTAGCCAGCCAGCCACAAGGAAAGAACAGAGCTGAGCCCGGGGTCGGCACCAGAAGTCAGCCTCAGCAGAGGTTTCCCTCCATGCCCACACACCTCCATCCTGGCACAAGCGGTTTTTATAGGGAAAATTCCAACTGAGGCCAAGATTTCAGCAATCAGTCTTTTCTTCTATTTAGAGTCTATATGTTAATATGATTTTCTTTTTTTGGTGATGAGGGAGAACAATTCAGTGTCCGGAGTTTGTTGAATCCCTTGATGAAATGTACGGGAATTCGGGAACGCTGCATTCACGTGGATCTGCCTGAGGATTTCTATGATATTTATCTCAGGTTGGTCACACCAACAATCAGCACCTGGGGTTCCCACTTGGGGTTCCCACTTGGGGTTCCCGGATCTCCCCAGCCATGGCCCATCTCATCTCCTGGCCAGCCGGACCTTCTTACTTGTAAATTAGTTTCCAAAATACACCTGCGAGGGTTGGGGGGAATCCTAATACAAACGTGTATACTCCAACAAATATTCAATATTACATATATTATATTCGAAATGGCGCGAATTATATCTACTACACATAACAGCTGAGAACGGTGGGCACCGCCTCAGAACTGACTGTGCTTCCTAGATCGGTCTACAATCCTCATTTTACTCTAATTTAACCTTTCCTAGTTAATTTATATCGGTTCAGCTTGCCAGCCTGTACCTGCCAGGGTGATCATCTCCCATCAAGGGGCTGGGCGTGGACAGGGCTGCTCTCTGTCGGCTCCGTAACCACCACACCTAATTAAAGTCCTTAAAAACCTTTAATGTGACAAGAGGAGACAGGAACGGGCAGGAAAAATAAGAGAGGATCTTTCAATTACTTTAATCACGCTGACTTTCAAATCCCTATCCGAACAGGCCGAAACTTTGTGCGCTTTTCCAGGAGGCTCCAGGTGCCCGTCCCGGCCGCATCCATTTCCCTCTGCCTTAAGGAGAGGGAAAAGGAAAGTAAATACAGCAAGCGCTTGGAATAAATGATGAAATTGTCCTCCAGGCACGTTTTGCATATGAATATAAAAGTTGTGATTAATAGGTTATCGCGCATTACCGAGGGCTGAGCGGACCGCGGGCAGCGGCGTTCTTTGCCAGCCCTTTCTGCTTTCAAAGGAGCCGCAGCGAAGCGTTCTCCGGGGTCCCAAATTCCGGCCAACAAGGCCATCAAAGGCGGCCAGATTGCGGCTTTTCCCCCCCGGGGGCTCCGTGCCCATTGTCAGCCTCAATGCCCCCACCGCGCTGGCGATTAGAGCGATTTAACCCAAAACGGACGCGGGAAACAATGCCCCGTGCCAGGGGGAGCGGGGGGGACAAAGGGGACAAAGGGGACAAAGGGGACATCTGGAGCACGGGCACTGCCTGCCCCGCTCTGCCCCATCCCTGCCCAGCCTCGCCTGCCTGAGCTCACGGACGGGTTTTACACCCCCAAAGCAGAGCAAAGCCCAGTGCCCAGTGCCACCGGCCGGGCACGGAGCGCTGTCCCTCCCCGGCTGGGTCCAGAGCCACTGGGGTGGCACCAGGGGATGGTTTCTGTGGTCCTAGCACCACTGGGGTGGCACCAAGGGATGGTTTGTGCAATCCCAGAGCCACTGGGGTGGCACCAGGGGATGGTTTCTGTGGTCCCAGCACCATTGGGGTGGCACCAGAGGATGGTTCCTGTCACCAACCCTGCACTGTTCCTCCCTGGCTGAGTCCCAGCACCACTGGGGTGGCACCAGGGGATGGTTTCTGTGGTCCCAGAGCCACTGGG